TTGGGAGGCAGAGGCAGGTGGATCTCTGTGTTTGAGGCCATCCTGGTCTACACAGTGAGCTCAACAACACCCAGGCTTACATAATGAGGCACCATCTTGAAAAAAAAACAATATTGCAGATCATTGTCACTATGAAGTTAAATTGTAAATACAGCAGCAAACAGAATCCAATGGCACATTTCAAAACTGTACGATTGGTGCTGTGGAAATGGTTCACTGGTTAAGAAACTGGCATCAGATGTCTGTCAACTGAAAGTCCACTCGTGGAACACAAAATAAAGGTAAAAAGAGAGGACCAACTCCACAATGCTGTGGTCTGACCACGACTAGTGTTCCATGTGTACCCATTCATAAACATCGTGATCTTACACACACACACACACACACTCCACGGAGAATCAGGGGAAGGAGGATAAAACTGAATATAAACATGAATGAATCAAGCTATATTCCTATGCAATGAAATGACCTCACTGAAGAGCAGTATGAATCAAAGTACATTCTGAACGCAGCATCTTAACTATGGTCCTTCAGTCAGCAGTAGGACAAATAAATGCAAACAAATCTTGAAACATTTTACTAAGTTTGTCGTGACAATAAAAATCTATCAAGTCCAAAACTTAATCTGTATGAGTTGTATGAATGGATCAGTTAGTAAATAGGTTGAGAGAAACCGGAGTTCTCATCCTGGGAGAAGTGAGAGAAGTAGGAAATGGGAAGATTTGCAAGGAAACCAAGACTCGGAAGAACTGGAGGAACCTAAGTGTGTCCACTGGAAGAACAGACTGGCAACCATGTGACCTTCTGAGAGACAGAGAGAAAAAAAACCAATGCAGCAAAACAATGATGATGATAAAAGATACATGGTGATTCGTTTTTGCAACGTTTCTGTAAATTTGAAAATACTTCACTGAAAAAGGCAGAAAAACACGTCTCTTTTACTGTTTATCTCTGGGCAATGGGACTAGCATGCTTAACTGGCAAAGATGGGCAGCACTCTCACCAAAGACTAGAATAAAAATTAAAAACAAAAGACAATGTTTCCCATTATTATTTTTGTTGCACTGAAGGTACCTGGCGACAGAATTAAACAAGGGCATGCAAGTGCAGGTATAGAGTTTGACCAGGAGGGAAACTATCACCATTGCAAAGCACACAATTGCACAACCCAGAAAACAACTAGACTCCAAAGAGTCTTTGTAAGACAGTTGATGACACAAGCAGAAACCATCAGGGTTTGATGGTAATAGCAAAACTCTAAAGCTTGACTTCACCCTAACGACTTGGTAAATCTTCTATTTCTTTTCATCCTTAGGCTTTAAGGCCAAATCACTATTTGAATGTCAGTTTGGCATCCTTAAAATAGATTAGGAGGATCTTGTGATCACCTAGGCCATCATCATAGCTAATCCTTAAACAGCATCAACAATACAAGAGCACTCACCCTTGAGAGGTGTTATTGGGAAATAAAGATGGCGTACTGTAATATATCACAGTTACCAGGATTACTGCTAGGCCAGCAGAGAGCTGAGCTACCTTCAGCATTCTGTTAGAGGAAAAGAAGCTAATAAACAAGTGCTTTGTGAAGTTGCTTTTTCTTTTTATTTATTTTTTGTTTTTTGTCTTTGTTTGTTTGTTTGTTTGTTTGGAGATAGGGTTTCCTAGTAGCTCTGGAGCCAGTCCTAGAACTCACTCTGCAGACCAGGGTGGCCTCAAACTCACAGAGATCTGTCTGTCTCTGCCTCCATAAAGCTGGAATTTAAAGCATGCGCCACCACTGTTCAGCTGACAAAACAATTGAAATCTAGATGTCAACACAGTATGCTGAAAAGGCCTCCAAAATAAAATGGGAGAGAGCCTGTACTTTGAGGGTATCAATACAAAATAACGATGAGCTCTGAGAAGCCAGAAAAAAGCTCATGACACTTCAACATTCCAGAGAGGAAAACGCCATAAACACACAGAAAAGGAGCTCACTGCCTCAACTCTAAGGCATGAGTTAGTGGGAGCTAACCAGGGGCTACCACCTTACAATTTGGCTTGTTTTTGAAATGCTATTATTGCTCATGTGAATAAAAATAAATAGTAATTTTCAAGCCATTTAATTCTGTATGAAAGTGGGTGAATATATGGTCAGAGCTGCTGGGTGTGGTGGCATGTGTCTATAATCCAAGCACTTGGGAGATGGAGGCAAAAACAGGAGTTGGGGACAGATTCTGCTACACAAGAGTTCAAGGACAGCCTGGCTACATGAGATTATCTCAAAAACAAAACTAACATTAGGAATAAAGAAATGGTCAATGTCAAGAACACAAGTCCCAAGTCCTTGCTGGCTTTAGTTACTACACACCTAAGGCTCAAGAAACTCTTGGGTCCCATTTATTCATGTACTCCTTGTAGCCAGTTTCCTGGATCCAAGTCCCCTGAGCTTCATCCCCTCACCTGGGCCCATCTATGTATACCTAATTACCTGTCATTTTTGCCAATTTAGTCCACCCAGAACTTTAAGCATGATGTACTAATTTGCTGAATCATATTGAGTAACACTGATGAACATGTCTAATAAATTCACCCTACAACCTTGGGCATTTCTTTTTGAACCTGGGCTCTCACTGTGTACTCCTGGTTGGCCTTGAACTCAGAGATCCACCTGCCTCTGCCTCCCAAGTGAGGGGATTAAGGGCCTTGGCACTATGTCCAGTGTCTTTAGGCACTTTAAAGAGGAGGGGAAAAGCAGGTAGGATGAAGAACATCTGATTGAAAACCAAGCACAACCATGTAGATATTGCACTATGAAAACACCTAGAAGCCTGTTTCCTAATGGCTCAAATATCCCGTTAGGATGCAATGACCTTCTTACTACTGTTCTCTAAGCATTTGCTCTATGATGCAGAGGAACAAGGCTGGCAAGAGCAAGTGAGAAAGGCCAGTTAAAATCTGTCAGTAAGTACCAAATCCCTAATAAGCATTCGCCACATTTCAGAAGCATTGCACACCACCCCACAACCACTCTGTACAACAGGATGGTGTTGTCCATGTTAACATGAGAGGAAATAGAGTCCCAGAAGCGGTGAAATGACTAGCCCAGTATCACCCAGTTAGGAACTGGTAGAGTAGGGGAAACCAAGATCCATGCTAACTCATTTCTGTCCCAGTCAGAAGATCACATACCAGATTTTTCACCAAGTTAAGGTCGTGAGACCAAGCAAACAACAGACATAGGTGCCACCATCTCAGCCCTGAGACCCTGTCCATATGCTGCCTGACTTTGTGCTAATCCATCTCCCCTTACACTATGACACTTACTGCCCTGTCTTCAGTAGCACCCTGTTCGGGAACATTCTGCCGCTTGGAATTTTTGACCCATCAAGGGTCACAGACAGACCTCTCCAGGACCCAAAGCCAAGCCTCACTCCATCCCCGTCCTTGGCCTGGTGCTCAGCCTAGGTCACCTATGAACCAGATTGCAGCTTCCAGAAACATTCCATCTCACTCCAGGGAAGGCACCTCTGGATCTGTGGGTTCCTACCAGAGCCTTTCAAATCCTCCAGGAGCCCAAACTGGCCTCCCAGGATTGTCTTGTCCCAGGCTGCTATTCCTTGGGAAAATTTTCAGCCTCACGGGCAGATACACCGGAAATCCAGCAGGAAGGGAATATCCAGACTGAAGGCCAGCATGCCCTGAACGGCTCAGCACCCAGGCCAGACTTTTAAAATCCCCTAAAAACACTAATATCAAAGAGACGCACAAGAGGATTCCAGTAGCATCACTGACATCCACAGGTTTAAATGTTCCTCTCAAAGGGTCTGACTTAGGTAGAAAATGGCTTATCATTCCATCTCTGAGGAGAAAGCAGGAGGAACTTCAGTTCAAGTCATTGAACTTAAGCTTAAGTCCAACCCCCCCCCCCAAAAAAAGGAGAGGATTCAAACAGGATAAAATTTTCTGTAGCCCTTAATAAATGAACAAAATGTTCTATCATAATAATTTCCTCCGGGCTGAGGGATCACGTAGCTAAAAGATAGGCATCAGTAGAACTATTTCTCTTGTCGTCAATAGGCATATAAATACATACACTACGCATTCTTAAAAAATCAGTGATGTCTATTTTACCGGTATCATCCCGCTACCTTGACAAACCAAATAGGCCTTGACTTGAAGCAGCAGTTTAGATCCATTCGCTGGAGCAGTATCAACTTCCCCAAGGCTTGAAATGCCGAACCTAGTTTAGCTCTATCCCAAAGCCTAGAAAAGTTTTTAACACAATTGGCATTGCTTTTCAACAGTTATATACTGGACAAAAAACAGATATACATTATTCGTCAGACTGGGGATTTAGATCCAATTAAGGAAGCTTGTATTTCAACTGACAGCATAATGCTTACAAGACTGGCTCGCATAATAAAGATAGCAACTTTAATCACAAAACATGTTAATTTATGTTCTCTTTTACCATCCGTGGAGGATGATTGATGATCATTTAAAAACTGGACAGAGGCTGAAGGATGCACACAAAGCTCCCGACGCTATAAGTCAAGAGTAGAATACGGTACTTCTATTTTGAAGGTTGAAATCCAGGCTTACGCCACAGCGTCCTTACATAACATTCCACTCGCGAGACTTGAGCAGTGATGGCTTACTGCTATAATCTGACCATAGCATACAAGGCCCACAATCCAAAGCGGGGGCGAAGGCCTACAAACCAAATGGCTGCTGATGGAGTGCTAAGAACGGAATACCACACACTGACCTACAAACTACAGCCATAGCCATTGGTCAGATCGACAGTGCTGGGCGGAGCCAGGAAGGGGCGGGGCCTATCATGACATTTCCCTATTCGACCTGTTTTCCCGCGCCTCTCTTGAAATAGAATTGATGCCTGGGACATATCCGGCGGGACGTGAGGAAAACGCAGCACTCCACAGTCAGAACAGCAGCCGCCAGGTTGCACCTCTTTGCACTGCAATCCACGCCTCCGCAAGCCCCACATCATCACCAACATGCTGGGAGTACGACCCCACAGCCCCGGCGCCGACCCCGAACCCTGCTGGGCACCGCAGCCACAAGGAACCAGCCCTGCCAAGCGCCGCCGCCTCCAAGAGCCAGAGGCGCCATCCCACCTGGAAGAGCCCGCCGGGTCCGCCAGCGACGCCACGACATCCATAGTGTTCCTGGCCGCTGGCTGCTCCATGCAACTGCAGTTGGATGGCATCAACCTGCTGCTGGAGCCAGATCCCACCTCGGTCCTGGAAGTGTCGCTCCCTGAACACACCATCATCCTGGTGCCTGAGGGCCTCCAGGATTCCTACCATCTTGGGCAGCCTGGGTTCTTGTCCGCCAGCCCGCAGGGGGGCGCTGTCCTGGAAATGCCAGAGGACGACCTCCTAGTCCTACAGCCAGGATCCTTCTGTGAGTACATTCTAGAAAGTTCCTACCAAGAGGACCCCTGTGATGAGGATGTGGACTCTGGCTGCCTGTCACTCTGGATGGATCCTCCAGCTGGTCAGGCAAGTGAGCACCTTTCCTCCACCAACAGGATGCCCAGTCCTTGGCCTCAGGGCCACATCCCAGAACCATATCCTTCGGGGCCTTCCCCAAATGCAGAGCCATATTCTCCAAGGTCTATCTGGGACCAGGACAGCTACCTGTTGGGACCCTTCCTCAGCTCACCCCTGCAACCTCTGCCTCAATCTCCTCCTCCAAGTCCCCAAGAACAGCGACCTCCATCCTCTCCGCGGGCCCCGTGCAAGGCCAGGAAGAGACTGTTCTGTCAATAAACTGTGCTGCACAAATCCTGATGCCCCTCAAGTGAGAGATTGACTTCCCAATCGTGACTGTCTCTGCACAGCCTACAAGGTTAGAAGGGCACTCTTGTTTTTGAAATGGGAAGAATGCAGAACATTGGATTGCTGGTTGGCTACAAAGTCTGGAAGGAAGATCATCACCTCCAGATCACGTGCCGGTTGACACTCACCTGCATTTGGTCTTTGAATTGACCGGTCATGTTTTCTATACAGAAGTCATCCTCGGGAAGTCTCATCACTGCAGTCCTGATTTTGCCCCCAACTTGCAGCACTTTCCCTCATACTTGACCCTATCGTTCCTCTTTCCCCAACTTAATTTCTTGAATTAATTAATCATTGATAATGAAAATCGTTTATTACTTTACCACTACCCTTCCGACTCTGCCAGCTTTTTTGTCATGGGCCCTTTCCTTATGGAGGTCCTTCCTTATTTGGGAGAATCTAGCAAATGGTTGCACTTCACAGATGTCGTTCTTTATGAAACAAACTTAGCAAGGGAAGTAATGATCATACTCTTTTTTGTTTTGTTTTTTGTTTTTGTTTTTTGTTAGTTTTTGTTTTTCAAGACAGGGTTTCTCTGTAGCTTTTGGAGCATGTTCTGGAACTACCACTTGTAGACCAGACTGGCCTCAAACTCACAGAGATCCACCTGCCTCTGCATTTTGAGTGCTAGGATTAAAGGCGTGTGCCACCAACACACAGCTCATGCTATTTTTTAATAAGTAATTAATTGGGGGGAGGCTATTGTTTGCATTGTGGTTTTATTTTGTTTTTTTTTTCTTTTTGATTTGGTTTTACTTTTTCAACAAGAAATAAGTCTTTTGATATCATTTTCTGTATTTTTAATATAGTTCTCTGTCCTGGAGGTCATAATTCTAATGTTACAATAATTAATTATAAGACTATATTGTTAGAATAATTAGAAGATCCCAAATTTATGTTATTCAGTGTTACTAGTATGTAGATATGTCTTATATTGATTTGATTTCCAACAAATTTATTTATTTATTTAGTAATTTTATGTATCTTCTTCTGAATGTTTGATTAAAAAAACAGTATCTCTACTGAGAAAATGGGGGCCTTTGACATATCTAAAACATCTTATTTTTCCTTAACATTTACTATGAAAGAGTTAAGTTCAGTTGAAGTGTATTTGTTAGGGACATTCCTATCATATAGAATGCAATTACTTAAATTTTATAATAGAATATTAGCTTTTCTGTAAATAGTTGTTAGATAGTATTTGTCCTGATGAAGATGTTACTTAATAATGTTTCTGATATTTCAAAATAGTTAGAATATTTTGTTTTGGTTTGGTTAAGTATTAAGACTTTGTCAAAATATTGGATTTAATAATTGAATTAAATTATATTTTCAAAACTTGAGTATTAGAGTACCTTCATGTATGAGCTATGTTGAGCCCTGAGTCTATGGCACACACACAACAGGGTAAGAGAACATATGAGACCAGGGTTGGGGCTAAGGACATTGTAAAACTTAAATACTCTTTCAGATACTAGAGCAGAGATGGTTAAGCAGAAATGATTGAAGAGTTGCATTACGGTGTCACATGGTAACGTCTTAAGAAGTTTTTTGTTTTGAGCATGGTGCTGTATGGTGTCTTTTTCACTGGTCCATGTTCACAAAATGTACAACTAAGGAAGGCCCTTTGCACCCCTGCTAGTCCATAGGATTTCCATCTGATTGTCATTATACTCTGGGAAGTTTTTGCTTTGGGAAATTAGAGAGTGTTTGATTTTTGGTGAGTTGCGTTTTTTGAGACAGGACAGTCATAACTGTCCTGAAACTCACCATGTAGGGAGATCAGCCCAGGCTTAAACCAACAGGGATATACCTGCCTCTGCATCTCAAGTGCTGGGATAACAGGCATATATACCACCAAGTCTGACTTGTTTGTGTATTTTTGTGCATGTGTTTGCTGTTTTCTTGTTGTTGTTATTTGGTTTCTTTTTCTTTTCTTTTCTTTTTTTCTTTTTTTAGACAATATTTCTCTGTATCTCTGGCTGCCCTGGAACTCAATCTGAAGACCAGGCTAACCTCGAACTCCGAGATCTGACTGCCTCACTAGTGCTGAGATTAAAGGTTTAAGCCACCACTACCTGGCTTGCTGTTTGTTTTTATTCAAACCACTCTTAACTAATATTAAAATGTTCATATAGAAAATGACATATATATACACATATACATATATATTAATTTTGTACATATGTTTATACAAGGTAATACATTGTGTAGAGTTATAGTGTATATGTGTGGGTATATATATATATATATTATATATACACATGTGTGTGTGTGTATGTGTGCATAACATGAATGCCTGTATAGGTTAAAAGAGGGCGCTGGATCCTGTAATCAGAGTTACAAACAGTTTGAGCTGCCATCTGGGTACTGAGAATAAAGTAGGGTCCTCTATAAGAGCAACCAGTGTTCTTAACCACTCAGCCATTCCAACACTGATCCATATTTTGTAATGAAATAAATCAATACTGATAAACCAGTATATCAACATAAAGCTACTCTGGGAACATCAATAATTAGATTTTGGTTATTCGAGTTTGTTGCCAGTTTCTTTATTCGTTTTTCTATTCGTGTACCTCATTCCTTCTGTATATCCTCCTTAATTCTTTTTATTTTTTTATATAAAAACACATTTGTATATTTGTTTTGCTTGTGTGCACACTACTGTCCTGGCACCATGTGGATGTCAGAGACTAACAGGAGTCTGTTCTCTCCATCTATCCTGCAGGTCCCAACACTTGAACTCAGGTTGTCAGGTCTGGGCACGATCACCTTTACCCACTGATCCATCCCTCTGGCCCCTCGTTTGTCTTCTTTGTAGGCTACAATGTTCAGTTTTATATACCTAGGGTGTCCTTGTGTAGCCCAGGCTTGCCTCAGACTTGAAATTCTTCTGCTGCAGCTTCACAAGGGCTAAGATGTTTGGCGTGAGCCACCACCTCTGAGCAGCCTACAAAACAACCTCAGGAATTCTTTCTTCCATGGCCTATGTGGTAAGTCTTAGGTTATGTCTCGAAATGTTTTGTGGACACCTACTAACTTGTGCTATTTTCGCTGGGTTTGAAATTCTAAAATCACATCTATTTTCTCTCATTACTTCAAGATACTGTTCTTTCTTGCTGCTCTTTGATGTATGTAAGAAGTGTCCTGAGTAAACAGGGGAAGGGTGTAATGGGAGGTAATGGGGGATGGGAACATGAGGGATGGGGATGGTCCATTTAGGGGAACTACAAAGAGGGAGAGCAATGAAAGACATATCCTGATAGATCGGGCTACTATGGGTTTAGGGAGAAACCTGGTGCCAGGGAAACCTCCATGAACCCACAAAGATGACCCCAGTTAACCTCCTAGCAACAGTGGAGAAGGTGCCTGCACTGGCCTTCTTCTGTAATCAGATTGGTGACTACCCTA